CCTCCATGACTCCAAAGCAGCCAGAAACAACCTAAATGTGATGCAAAATGCAAGGAACATGCGTATGCTGGTGCAAGAATGCTCTAGGACTCTAAGTGATGCAATCTAACCTAAAACGTGATACAAATGCATGAAAAGCTAACTAATGAGTATGCAAAATGTATGTAATATGCAGTAACATCACTTTGCCACGGAATGAGGCATCAGATTTATGCTAGCTCCGAGATCACAAAGGCAACTTTTGAACTCCAAAGGACCTAAAGCGCAGGGTATAGTGAAGCTTCCAGGGTCTCCCAACTTCTTAGGGACTATTTCCTTATGTATCACAGCACTACACTCCTCACTTAGAACAAGAACCTCCTTACTTTCCTTATTCTTCTTCACGAAAGTGTCTTTGAAGAATTTGGGCAATTTAGGCATCATTGCAAGGCAGTCCACGAGAGGTAGCTTGATCTCTACGTCCTTAAGATGCTTCTCAAACAAGACTCTATGCTTCTCTATGAGTTGCTTCTTGAAACGGCCAGGAAAAGGCAGCTTAGGTATATACGGTGGAGGTACATAAGCATCCTTCTCCTTAGTAGATTGCTCCGCTTTCTTCTCAACAACCGCTTTGTCTCCTCTTCTTGGCCCTTGAATCCAGACATTGTCAAAATTGATCTCATCATCAGCGGAAAGCTTACCCTCCCCCAATTGAATTACAACGTCCTCGTTGTTCTTAGGAGTAACCGTAGGTGCTAGCTCTTTGCCGCTTCTTAGCGTGATGGCGTTGGCATATTCCTTAGAGTTCTGCTCACACTTGCCCGGGAGGCTATTCTGACCACTTGTACTTGCTTTCCCCTTCTCTAGCTGCTTGATCTTGTTGTTTAAGTTGGTGATCTGAGTGGAGAAGTCAGTGAGAGACGAGTCTAAACGAGTGTTCATCTCGGCAAACTTCTGGTTTGTAGAGGTTTGCCCTTGGATCAGCTGCTGAAACATGGCCTGAACCGGATCAACTTGTTGTTGCATCGGCTGTTGCTGCTGAGGTGCAAAGCCCGGAGGGTAGTTTGGCGTATAAACCTTGTTGCCTTGATGTTGCCCTTGGAAGTTGTTCTGCCCTTGACTTTGGAAGCCACCACTCGGCTGAAAACATTTGTTGTAAGGTATGAAAGGTTTTGCTTGCTGAGCAGGGTACACTTGGTCTTTAGGGTTGGCGACGTTGGTACTACAGTAGGAGAGATTGTTGTTCTGGTTGTAGCCTTGGGTGTAGCCGTGAGGTTTGTAATTGTTCTGTCCCGCCACCCAATTGGCTTCTTCCTGGCTCAACTCAAGCTCTTCTTGATTCTCATCCGCTTCACCAACAAAGTGAACATGCTTCTGGTTGGCTAACACCAGCTTATCAATCTTCTCATGCAAGAATTTCAGCTCATTTTTGTGAGACTCTAGCTCAGATCCTCTCGGTGCACGGTCATAATCTTCAGCATAGTTGCCGTCACTCAATGCTAAGTTTTCAATCAGCTCCATGCCTTCTTCTACCTCCTGACCAAGGAAGTTCCCTTTACTAGCCGTGTCAAGCAACAACCTGATATTTGGTGAAGCTCCACGGTAGATAGTGCTTAGAAGGGTCTCTTCGCTGAAGCCATGGAGTGGACATTGGATAGTATAGTCCTTGAATCGTTCCATGGCTTCAATGAAAGTCTCATTATTCCTTTGTGTGAAGCTGCTGATCTCACTTCTTAGCCTTGCCGTTCTGGTGCTAGAGAAGAATTTTGAGAGGAAAGCTTTCTTACACTCGGTCCATGAGGTGATGGTGCCTTGTGGAAGGGTCTTCTCCCAATGCCTAGCTTTGTCTCCGAGTGAAAAGGGAAAGAGACGCAGCTTGAAAGCATCTTCTGATATGCCGTTTATCTTGATCATCCCACATACTTGCTCGAAATTGTCAAGGTGCTCCAAGGGATCTTCCATTGCTAAGCCGTGGAACTTGTTGTTTTGCACCATGGAGATGAAACCTGACTTAATCTCGAAGTTGTTGTTTTGTACAGGAAGAGGAGTGATCCCAAACCTATTGTGATGAGTATTGGGAGCATCTCCGGCTCCTATGATCCTTGGGGGTCTAGCCGCGTGTTGGGGGTTTCCATTGCCCCTTCCCACTGCCCCGTGAGCTGGAGGAGGTCCCTCTGGATGCTCGTGTTCAGCCATAGCTTCAAAGTCAACCAAACCGTGCTGAACAATCTCCTCAAAGGCTCTGGCTTGTTTTCGTACTCTTCTTCGCCGTGAATGACCAAGCTGATGAATGTTGTCCAAGAGTTGAAGTAGATTGTTTCCCCTTGAACGAAGATTCATGTACCTGAGAGACACACGTTTGAGAGTAGAAAAATTAGTAACTAAAACAAGGTAAAAGCTTAGTCTTTACTAAGCCCCAAATCTCTATGCTTTCTAAGACTCCTAGAATGCAATGATGCTATCAAACTCAAATGCAACACTTAGGTTGTAGTACGGTATGCAAGTGAGAGTCAATCCATTTCTAGGATCTAGGAAGATCAAAGAGAATGCAAGAGCAGCGTAAAGCTAAGCGAATAACAGGCGATATTGTGAAAATCCTAAAAACTATATGCAACGACTGAATGGAATGCAAAACTATATTAAAATTACCAAGAGTGATTGAACTACTACGAGATTTAACAAAAATCGACTAGTGGATCGACCACAGGATCGACCACTAGATCGAGCAGTTTGGATCGATCTCGTCTAAAAATACAAGTATGGAGAATCTAATGACCAGGATGCGGCGAATTTCAAGCGAATGACTAACGAAGATGTAAGAATGCTAAGAAAGAAGGGTCTAGGGTTGAGATTCATGGTCCGGGGTTTCAAGGGTCCAAGTTGGGATTGAAAACTTTAAATCGACTCACTTTGTGAGATTCCCTAAGCCTTGAAAACGAAAACAAGATCCATCTGTGGCTTTCGGTATGGATCACTCCTTCATCCTCTCCTCCAAACCCATGGCTTCTGGTGGAAAGAGAGGTTGAAGGGCAATGAACTCAGATTTCAAACACACAGCCTAACTAGTCCCCTAAACTTCTATGGCTTTTGGGAAAGGGTAACTAGTCTCTAGGATGTGATTTTCAGAGATTTCTGGATCCTGTCAAGGTAAGAGACCTCTCTGATCATAAAGATCTTGGCGTGAGAGTCTTTAAGCCTTAGGGACTCAACATCCTAGAAGAGAAGCCATTAAGAACAAGAAAACTACCAACTTGAAAACCCCTTAGACCCCGTGAATCCTCTCAACCCCGAGACCCTAATGAAACTACTCGCTACACATGAGAATAACCAAAATAAACATGAAAGACAAAGCGATGAACATGAAAATGATTACTTAAAACTTAAACGATTCGAAATATTCAAGAACAAAGCTCAAAGTCTAACAAAGGCGAAGAGTCTCCAAACCAGAGAGAAAAAAGCATAAAAAGATAAGAATGAAAAGTGTGTGTGGGAAAAGACATCGCCGCCTTCCCAAAATGGTGAAAACAGCTCGATGGTCCCCCCCCCCCCCCCCCCCCCCCCCCCCCCCCCCCCCCCCCCCCCCCCCCCCCCCCCCCCCCCCCTCTCTAGTGGCCAAAAGCGGTTGAAAGAACAGAGATCGACTTCGGGATCGAGCGGCTCTTTCGATAACTTTCGGACATCCTGTCTTCTACTCGATCTGGGTCTCGATCTTCTTCGGCGGATCGAGGGTTGCATCCGATCTTGGTGTCGATCTTCGGTCGGATCGAGTGGTGGACTCGATCCGGCTCTCGCTCTGCATGGCGTCATTTACGTCCGTACCATTTGATCGATTGCTCCACTCGATCTTCGTCTCGATCATTTCCCTTGGATCGCCTGGGCTTCTCGATCTTCTGGTCGATCTCATCTAGATCGACCTGCCATGCTCGATCTGCTCCCCGATCTCTGACCTTAGCAAACATCTGACGTTCCACGAACCACCACAACAGCTTCAGCACGTCCACGAACCTTTATATCCTTTGTATTTACACCATTTAGGGCTGCATTTAGTACATGTTTTGGTCCTCTTTTGCATATTTTCCCTTAGCTTTTGTCCTATTTTCTTCTCCTTTTAGACTTAGGTTACATTAGGAGTATAGATTGCATTTTCCTTGCATATTGGATGTTTTTAGGTTCTTTTGGAGCTTAAAGGAGTTTGGAGGAGCTTTGGGAATGATCCAGGAGGCTAGCTGGACAAAAGGGAGCAAGAAGGTTCAAAGCAGAAGATCTCTGCAAAAGTTTTCGGCCAGAGCCTGGAATTTTCGGTCTCTGGTGACCAAAATGGAGCAGTATCGATCACCAGTATCGGTCTGATGTGGTCGACACAAACACACCATTATAATTTCGGTCGTGTGTGTCGATCACTGATGACCAATACAGAGAAATTTCGGTCACTGGAGGTCGACACAACTGACCGATACTGACCCAGCCCGAACCTGTTTTTAATTACACTTTTGCCACCTTTCTAGGGTTTTCTCCCTTAGGCTATAAATAGCCCCTTTTTCTATATTTTCGAGAGGTCTTGTCAAAATATTGTTCTTAAGCTATTTCTTTAAGTTTGTAAGATAATTTCTTTGTTTTGTTTAATACAATCAAGTATTTGCTTTAATAAGCTTAAACATTCCCGGCAGTAACCGTGAAGGCGCTCATACCTTAAAATGACTGTAATCTCATCTCCACTGTGAAACTCCACAGATGTCTCGAAAACAATCGGCTTGAAACCATCTATGATCACCTGGACTCACCCCCCCCCCCCCCCCCCCCCCCCCCCAAGTCCACCTGTTGGACTATCCCAATGGCTTGCCCAATACAACGGAAAGTCGGTTCTGCTCAAAAGTGAAGTGGCACCCCCCATCATCCGTACCCAAAAGGTGAGTTTCGAGGGGTAATTGAGCTCCATTATCGGCTCCCACCTTACAAGCACCACCATCCATCCATCGAAGTGAAAGGGTTCCATCTGTAACACCGCTTGGATATCCTCCTCCTCATCGTAATCGAACTGGAACCTGCCCATCCCTAGGTTTGCCCCTGCCACTCGCTCTTCCACCTTCCAAATTCTTGGCAACATGAAGAGGAGAGACTTCATCTCCTGCACCGTAGGATTCATGCACCTCCCGATCAGTGTTCGTCCGTACCCCTTGATCAAATCCTCATTGTCAAACCGGGGAACCGTTATTTTCAGTCGAGGTGCGAGTGTTTCTTTGCCCTTACTTGATCCACCATTCACCATTCTAGCCGCTTGAGCCATTGTGAGCACTGAGAGAGAAACAAAAATCAATGTGTTTGCGTTAGAGTGAATGGCAATCTTATGAGAATATGATTGTAATGTCCACTCCATTAGCGCCTTTATACAACCCATGAACCCCAAACGAATCCCGCTATTAAAGCTCCATATCAATTCCAGATCAACATAAGGTCCTCCCTCATGACAAAACCAAGGATGCCATGGATAATCCACATTAAACCCTATTACCTTAATCAGAAAGAGGTCCCCGTAATCACCGTGAGCCCCATCTATCCCAAGATATCCAGGATACTCGTCAAAACTGATGTGCGATACTTGCTTCCGTGGATTCCATAAATCACCGAAAATATCAACGTTTCATATCTTGATCCGCCGTGACTTGTTTCCTTTACTTTCCCAAGATTTCCTTAGAGTCCTAGTGATCACCAAAGTTACCATTATTAGGAATATCCCCAAGATGTATGATTGCTCCTCGGATCTCCTGTAAAAGGGGTTTAATTTAAAAGAGATAGCTAAAAAAGACAGAGACAGGACCTGAGTGATTGGTTGTTTCCTTTTATCCGCTCGCTGTGTTCTGTAAGCCCAGATCGTCAAGAGATACGGATCTGTTCGTCCTCCGTAAATCCCCGAGATTCGGTTCCCCCTTGGCCCCGATATCCCCCAATTAGCTGTGTCATCCCCCATATTTTGTGATTCCTCTTGACAATCTCGCCATATGTTTAGCCCGAGACCATGGATCTCAATATTGTTCCCCCAAATCCTCCGACCTTCTCGTCTTAGATCAATAGCAATCAAAACCCACCCAAGTGAAATCGAAACCCTGTTTACCTTCGCCTCCTTTCCACCCATATTGATTTTTGACACCCTCTAGATCTGGAATCATAACACCGTAGAACCCTAAAACGTCACCCGTGTCGACATTTTTTGAGAGAAAAAACGTATAGATAAAGTTTATGTTTTAATCAAATTCCTGTGTGAAACTAGATTAATGCATTTACCTTAGAGATATCTTTAATGACTAAAAATCTTGAAGGAACCTAAATAGTGAAAATTCGGTTAATCAATTGTCAGAAACAACTTCACAGTAAATTTTGATTGATCATGTTAATAATGTGCGATGATTAGTTCATTAAATAACTAAGAATCAAAAAAGTTAGAAGAAGAATATCGAGTTAAAAAAAAAAAAAAAAAAGAATATCGAGTTACAAACAAAAAAAGAAGAATATCAAGAAAAGCAATAAAAAAATATACTGTTTCTCTTATTATTGTAAAACACTTTATTCTTGTATATAACTCATATTAGCTTGACTAGAATAGACATTCAATCTATATTATTTGTGGCAACAAAAAACTTATTTCATGTAATAAGCCTAAGATTAAGTCTTCTTAACCATATCGAGTGAAGCATCATATGCATCACGTCGTAGGGCTGAGCTGGACGATTCAACACGAAATGCCGCTTCACTTCTAAGACTCTCTTATACATCTTCAAGTATTTAAGAGTAGAAACACCCTCTAGAATAGTTTTGATCTCACTTATCCTAGAAACAGGGATTTGTATGGAGAAGGAGTCCCAATTGAGCACATCACTAAATGGTAATGAATAATTATCTGATATGATCACGGGTACACAGCCAGCGTATATAGCCTCAACCTCTCTTGGGCTAGCGACCTCCCAGCCACTAGGGCATAGACAAAACTTGCTCAGTCCCATTAATTTGGTATAATCTTTTCCGGGGGGAAGACGTTCATAAACCTGTACTTCATTGTCCTTTTCTTTCCAGTGTTTAAATAAGATTTTTCGGATATTGCCATGCGTTCTTCCAGCAAAAAACGCTAGTATAGATCGAAATCTTGGTGATTTTCCGAAAAAAGATGGACCCAATTTACCTTTAGGAAGATAGATCTCCGGGATGGAAACGTCTATGCTCGGCCGGAATCCTTCCGAGGTGTTAGCATTGCAAAGTCCCCTTATGAACTTTTCGAACAACTTTGGATTTCCATCGATCACTTCTGGTGCCTATATACAATTTTAATATACATAAAAGATATATGAATATAAATTTAAATTAATCAAAATGTATTTTTTATCATATTTCATATAAAAATAAAATCAAGCAATTACATCAAAATCACCAATAATAATTTTAGAATAGAAAATTTTAGACAAATTTTTAATATGTACTATATAATAATATAACTATATGTTAAATCTCTAATTTATGTTCATTTTTACCAAAATACCATTTATATTCATTTATAATAAATACTAATTCGTGTAGAGACTCAAAGGATCTCAGAACACAAACACACTTTGTATATAGAATAATTTTTTCTTTATTGATGTTTAGAAATATAACTGAAAAACTAAACATCTTGTTCTTCATATCAATTGTCACAACTTGACATTGATATATATAGTGTTAGCATACATTGCTAATCCTATTTTCTATTGAATTAGCTAACTCCTAACTCTAATGGAATGCCTTAAGTCTATCTTATCCTAACCACTTTTGGATTTGGTATCTTAGATTTAAGCTATTGTTGAAGGTTATCCAATATTCTCCCTCTTAAGCTTGAGCACTTTATTGGACATGTCTTGAACTCCAATGAGGCTTCTCATTTCACTGAATTTGATTCCTGCCAACCCCTTGGTTAAGATGTCTGCCTTTTGTTCAGTACCCGGCACATGTTCAATATCCACAACCTCCCCTTTAATGCACTCTCTTATAAAATGGTACCTCTTATGTATGTGTTTACTCTTGCCATGAAACACTGGATTCTTGGTGAGTGCTATTGCAGATTTGTTGTCTATCTTGATGATGATTTGCTCAGCTTTCTATCTCGTGGTCTCGTCAAGTATATCTTGAAGCCATATAGCTTGTTTAGCCACTTCTGTCGCTGCCATGAACTCAGCTTCACACGATGATAGAGCTAATGTGTCTTGCTTCTGCGAACACCAAATTATTGGTGAGGAGCCAAAGTAAAAGATGTGTCCCGTTGTACTTCTTCCATCGTCTGGATCGATGTTGTGACTGCTATCACTAAAACCAGTGATTTTCTTTGAGCTTTTTCGATTAAACTTTAGCCCATATGCTACAGTCCTTTAAGATACTGTAAGATCTGTTTCATCACATCATCGTGAGATTTGCGAAGACTTTGCATGTATCTACTTGCTACACCAACCGAAAATGCAAGGTCTGGTCGAATGTGCAGCAAGTAATGCAAGCAGCCAATGTTTCTTCTATATGTGGTGGGATCGATCTCTTCTTCTTCTAGTGCCTTTGAAACCTTTAAACCAAATTCCATTGGAACTTGAGTTGAGTTGCAAGTTTCAAGACCAGCTTCTATTATGATTCGTCTTGCATATGCTTCTTGTTTAATCTTTATCCCATCTTCTCCTTGATATACTTCCATACCAAGATAGTATGTAAGTCTACCGAGATCATACATTTCAAACTTTGTTGACATTCCATGCTTCAGATCGTTTATGACCTTGTTTTTATTACCTGTCACAAATTGCAACAATTAATAGTGTACCTCCTTCTTCCTTGTGGTACACAGATGTCTCCTTAGAACATCTCTTAAATCTCATTCCCTTAAGAATTTGATTAGCTTAGTATTGAAGCTTAAAAGGGAGAATGTTGGATAAGCCTCAACATTAGCTTAAATCTAAAATGCAAAATCCAAAGGTGGTAAGGATAAGACAGACTTAATTCATTCCTATTTGAGTGAGGAGTTAGCGAATTCGTAGGAAATAGGATTATCAATGTATGCTAACACTATATATATATCAATGTCGAGTTCTGACAATGTCTAGATGATGTAAAACTTGTTTGGTTGAGGTCTAGATGATGGATCTCCTTTTCACCACTCTCTTTTGTTGAGGCGTGTAAGACGCGTTAAATGTCTCTATGCCATCTCCAAGTATCATCTTATATGCTTGTTTTTAATCATATTGGCTTCATAATCTTCAATGGTAGCTTATATAACATGTTTGGTGATCATTGTACTTTCACCAGGAGCCTCCCTCGTGGATCATGTACGGTAAAGTAATTTTGTCTCATTCGTACATCACATCTAGCTTATGTTGCTTATCCTAGACTTAAGATATTGTTCTTAAGTCCTGGTATATAGTAGATGTCCGAGACAAATTTTTGTTCATTGGTTTTGCTTTGAAATAGAATCGATCCTTTTCCCCCTATTTCAATACAAGATCCATCATCAAACTTCACCTCTCTTCTTATGCTTTCATTGAGTTCTGAGAAGAACTTCTTATTTCCAGTCATTCGGTTGCTCGCACCATTGTCAAGGTACCAAAGTCCTTCTTCTTTGCCGCTGTTCTTGAAGTTCTTAGGAAGAATGTTTTGTTCGTTTAGAAACACAATTTCATGCGTATATATAGCTGGATCGGCTTCTTCCGTCTCTACTTGATTTGCTTCTTGAGTTTTTTTGTGTTTTATCAAGACAAGTCGAGGAAAACTGTCATGGCTTATCGCATCGATAGCAAATCACATTTGATATGTCCTTCTTCTCTTTAGAGCGGTTTTGATCACTTTGATTTGTTGATCTGTCTTGCGAATTGTTTCTTCCCCTTCCTCGTCCTCTTCCCCCTCTTCCTCTTCCCCTGCCTCGAGATGAGGTTGAGCTTCTTTCTTCAGAATTTGCATATAATACCTTCTCTTGAGTGCCGAGAATGTCTTCGTCAAGTGTTCTTTCTTCGTAAGCTTTGAGTCTACCTATAATGTCTTCAAAGCTTGTTTGGTTGAGATATAATACTTGCTCAAAAGAAGCTGTTAGATATATGTACTTTGTCCTTGGTAAACTGTTGAGAAACCTTTTGACCACTTTAGGTTCTTCGATTGTTTGTCCAAGTGCAGCAGCTTTTAAAGCTAACTCCGATAATTTGCCTGAGAAGCTATCGATAGTTTCTGAATTCTTCATCTTGATCCGATCAAACTCCGACATTAGAGTTTGCAGCCTTGCCTCCTTGACTCGATCTGCACCAAGATGCCGTGATTTTACCCTTTTGGAGATTCTTGTTCACCAACTTGTAAAATAAAAGCCTCTGGGATCGATTGGAACAATAAGCCTGTTGCAATATTGTTCTTGTCATGGGCAGAAAAACCAGGTTCAATTGACTCTCACACCTTGTGAATCCGCAGTAGAACCTTCATTGTCATAATCCACACTGTGTAGTTTGTAGCTGTTAGCATCAGACATTGGATGGAGGATGGTATGACATCTTTTTGACGAGCATGAGGAACGACATCTCCCATGACTTGGTGACGCCTTTCTTCTTGTTGTTCATCAAAGCTCTTTAATCAAGCTTGGATCGCTTGTCCTTAAGCTTTGATACCAATTCAAAGGATCTAAGAACACAAACACACTTAGTATATAGAATAACTTTCTCTCTTTATTGATGTTTAAAAATATAACTCAAAAACTAAACACTTTGTTCTTCATATAAGTGGTCACAACTCACATTGATATATAGTGTTAGCATACATTGCTAATCCTATTTCCTATTGAATAACTAATTCCTAACTCTATTTTAAATCTATCTTATCCTAATCAACTTTGGATTTGGTATCTTAGACTTAGGCTAATATTAAAGCTTATCCAACAGAGACTATATAACATTAAGGTTCATATGTATTATTATTTATTTTTTAGTCATTAGCAATATCTAACATAATTCGGAAGTCCTTATAGTTGAATCAACCGAAGGTGGTTTGCTAACAAAAACCATTTAAAATATTGATAGAAAATGTCTAACATTTACACTCTCAATGATTAAAAGAAGCAAAATTTACGTACCCAGTCATGGCATGAAACCATGAAATGGT